ATGATATTTGATGAAAAGATCGTATTGCACTGAGAGGCTTATCACTAAAGGGCTTTGTCAAAATTTTTAATTGATTCTCTAACATTTGGGTGGTTATAATGTATTGCTAAATGCCGCTCATGATCTATAAATATAAATTAATTATCAAATTCATATTTGATTATGATTTATATTTATTGTCAACATTTTAGAAGTCTAATGGGTCACACACATTAAGTGACATGATTGGAGTTAAATAAGGATAATTAATTAAGTTGGACTTAATAGAAAGAAACCAAAATAAAGTGAGAAATTAATTAAGTTCTCAGAGACTTAATTAAATTAAAATACAACTGTTATATTTAAAGTTACAAATTAGTTTGGCTATATAAATATGTTATATTAGCAAACTAAAAACTGGAAGCCTCTAACCACTTTTCAACTGTTTCATAAAATAAAAAAAGAAAAATAGTTTTTTTTGTTTGACAAAAATTAGATTCGGCAAGAATTTTAGTCCTTTTGTTTTAAAAACAAAACTTGCAAGTACAAGTAAAATCCCACCTTGAAGAAAGTCTTATTCAATTACTGTGTGGATTACTGTTAGAGGCTAAACACTTGGGTGGCTGAAGATTTGACAAATCCTAAAGATGAAGAACCAAAGATTTTTTTTTTAGATTTAATTGACTCTTGATTACGATATCTAGAGTAAGGTATGTAACTCTTAAACCTATGAGTGTTTATAATTTATTTGAAAGTTACATGAAAGACACAAACATTAATCTTGTAGGATTTAACTGTTTCTCTGATTAAATATTAATTTATTTTTTCACTACGTTATATTTTAATTTATTGATTATTTTTCATGTTTGAGCATGAGGTCAAATCTCAACAATTTTCATCGGTAACATTAAGTAAAAATTGTGATTTGAGTACAAAGAAAAAAGCAAATATATTGTTGGTTTAATAGGGAGAGGATGAAGAAAAGCATAAAATAACTGATTGAAACAAAAAAGAAAGGAAATATTGAGCTAGTAATTAGAACTTAAGAACTCAATTAAATGGAAAAACTAAAAAGATTTCATCAAAATAAAACCCTACCTTTGATTAGGATTCTTTTCTTGGAGTGCTCTGCTTTTGCCTCTACTTTCAGCATGGGATAAAATGCCATTCTCATATACTAATTTTCTCACGCAATTCCTGGAAATTGTCGTAGTCAACTAGTGATGACCCGCAAATAAAAAGCAAAATAGAAAGATCCAATATTAGCAATGAAGTGGAACTCAGACTTTACTGGCTATGTGTAGTCAAATCTTTGGATAATATTTGATGCATAGCCGCCAGTTTTTACACAAACTTCACTGGGAAAGAAAGCCTCCGACGAATGCATCACCTGCTGAGGAGAAGAGAGGGGAAGTGTGACCCAAAAGCAAGAATGCTAAATCCCTTCGACATAATGATTAGAAAGAGAAACGTGGGAAGAAAATAAAAAGAATTTGATTTTTTATTTAACATTGTGATGATATGACATTATATAAAAAAGTTAAACAAAAAAAGCTTTAACAACTTGAAACTAAATATTACAAGTTTTCTTAAAACGACATAAATTTTTTCTCTTTCCAACTCTCTTACAACTATTTTTTTTTTCTGATCTTTCAATTAAGTTTGTTAAAATTGTGTGATTTAAAGAGCAATAGGATAATTAAAGATTTCAAAGTAGAAAGGAAAAAATCAATGTTTTTTTTTTTTCACTTCTCAAACAAACATTACACTGAAATTTTCTGGAATGGCTCAACGTTACCCATGGCTTGTCTTTCATGGATTGAATAATAAGATATCAAACCAATTAATTGACTTGAAACATGCCTTAAATTAACACACAGATTCCTGAAGACGCTGCCCTTCACTGAAATTTTGGCTGAATATGAGGTTGTTCAAGTATAGTGTGGAAGGTTTTTCACTTGTCAATTTTTGAGCACTTTTAGAATTAAAACATGGTGTGTTGACATGTTGGTCTGTATTACAAACAAGAGACCGATGGTCCGAATATACATTTGGTTCATGCATTTGGCACATGCAGATTGTATGAAGCTACCCGTTTCAATATATGGTAAGTGCATCAAATATAAAGTATTAACAAAATATAACAAAGTAAAATAAATCCCTACTTACCTACATGCATCATTTTTGGTGCTTGATATCTCTTTTTTATTAGATGTCGTTTTTTGGTATTTGATTATTCGTTCTAGGTTGTGTCTGGAAATGACCTAGTTTTGGTATTTGCTAAATCTTATATATTTGTTTTTTTAATTAGAAATAATATAATTATTGTATTATTCCTCAAAAATTCTTCAAGTTTAGTTATTTTCGCTTCCAATATTTAAGGATAGATTTATTGATTTATTTATTCTTTCATACACAATTTAAGCCCCGCACGAGAGTCGAAGATGAGAAAAGCAGAGAAAGCGGAGTTGAATCGAACACTCACAACACACCTCAATACCATCCACGAAACCTTGCAGGTTTTTTTTAAGTTCTATATGTATGCATGGATTTCATTTTGTTTTGTTATTGTAAGCAGGTGCAGAACAACTCTCCAAGCAAGCTACTATTGGTACCTCCATTTTTATATTTCAACCAAAAATTATTAATTTTTTAATAATTATTTAAAATTAAGTTTACAAAAAATACATCCATTGTATCATATAATATATATTTTTTTATCTTAAAATACATATTGCATATTATATGATATGTTTTTAATATTTAATTAAATACGATATAATTATAAATACATATTATTTTTTACTAACATCGCACTTAGAGTACAATAGTAATAAAATAATAGTTTTTTTCATCTATTTGTTTTTTGTTTTCAAGGTTCTCTTTTGTTTCATACTAAAAGGAATGGGACACAAACAAATGCTTTCTTTTTCTTCCTATAACCCTGTGTGGCATTTTGGTTCGATTTATTGAAGTTAATGATTTCTTCTTCCGTTTATTTAACAGCTGGAATGCTTTGGCATGGGGGAGCGCCCGAAGCTAAACAACTTGAGGAGAGCATGACATCATATTTCAATGTGCTACAGGGCTTCCTTTTGCTCTCGCATGGAAGCACTGTTGGTGCTGGCCCAACTCTCTCTTCAAGCATCCATGAATCAGTGAAGCGAGTTGTTGATTGCAGTTTCAGGTTAATGAAGGAATCTGTCTCATTATATGGTAAATAGCTTCCCTCTTTCTCTCGGAACGGCAGGTTAATGCACCCATGCAACCATGAACATGATTTGCCATTCAAGTGTGCATTAAAATCTAGGGTGAAGAAGTAAGGGGTTAGTTTAGCTAAGATATGTAACCCTTAGTCTGATGGTTGATTCCTTATCTTTAAAAGAACTTTGAAAATGTAATGGAACAGTAGTGATAGTCAGGTAGTGTTTTCTAAAGGGGTGTTGACATGTGGGACAGAATGCTTAAGAATCACAGCTGGAATGATACATGTTCCCTGTCAGGAAAGAGTGACTAGTATTTTATAATGATATGACCCCCTCTGTTAAACCATACAGATATCTAAGTATTATCCAATAAAATAGTTTCAAGCAATGCTTTGACGTATGAGGTAATTGTTTGTACTTTTCTCTTGTAATGAGCTTGTGTTCTTAATCGAACTGCGATGTATAGTATCTTATTAATATGCAGTCTGAATGTCAATGGGGTTGGTCATCATTGTTTGGGGTACTTCATGCAAGCATGAATGTTGTTCCTGTGTATCTCTTCCCTGTACACTTGTACGTAGCAGTAACTATCCTGTAAAAAACCAAAATAACGGTCTCCTTTTATAGTTTTAATAGTTTATTAGGGAAAAATGATTGGAGTCGCACACAAGAAGGAAATTAAATGGAGAACTAATCAATGTATAATGTCTTCTGCAAGAATGCATGCTAACAGGTGGACCTATTTTAGATTTGACTATGCTTTGTGGTCAAAACTGATCCAAACGATTGGTTTTGTTCTTCCTTCAAGACACTCAGCA